AAACAAAAACTTGTGAAGTTTTCTTGTCTATCAGCTTTATTTCCTGTCTCGCTTTGATCGTTTTATGCACTCAAGTTTCCGTCTTAGCCTCTTTGCGATTGTGATGGTGTCACATGGAAACAATGTGGTTATCAATTTGTTTTTTATAAGATGTCACCATGTTTCTTTCGTTCTCATGTGATGAGAACAGCAGTAGACGGGGGTGGATGGGGTTCATAAATTCATAAATGCACCGATTGTCAGATTACTTCACCTGTTTGATTGAGTATCAATAAATGCTTTTAGTGCGTTCCACATTCATCCGATCAAGTATGCAAGGGTTACCAATGAATAGACCAACAAAGATCTCAGTTTATCTCCTATCGTATCGATCTAGAAGCGTGATCGCTTGTTGGCGTAGGCTGTGATTCGTTCCATTAGACCGCCAACAAACATTTGGGATGGGATGAGCACAATGTAGTGAACAAGACTTGTTTTCAGTTATTCGTCTTCTTTGGCTAATACATTGCAATTTGTATAACTGGGATAAGATACGCGAGGGTGCAGGAAGAGAGGTCTATCCAATGCAGGGTGTATAGAAAAAGCACGTGGTCGGGTCAGTACGTTCATTTTCAAACTTTCATACCTCTCAAAAGAAAGCGAAACTTGATTCAATGCTTCTCTAACACAGCGCAAAAAATCTGCTCAGCTGATACAGAGAAAGAATTCGAATTTCTGCCCCAGATCTAACAAAATGGATACCCGGATTGATTTGTTGACAACATATTCAAACGTTGGACAAAAGAAGGGTAAATGGTTTTTAGAGTAGACAAGAAACCAGTTTACATAAGACTGTCATTTACAGGTGATATTATGACGGAAGTAATTACTCCGACGTTGACAACAGCGATCGGTAAAACATTTTATGCAGTGAAATTACATGTCATATTCGCATCCAGACCGGCCCTCAGACTGTAACTGAAAGATAAAGTTACCGATTCTGCGTTTACTCCTTCCCCAGTTCCTGTGGAACAACGTTTATCGGTTACACGAGCAGGTCGTTTGGTTGACATGACCAGAGTGTTTCGTCCCCTATACCAGGTTTGTGAACAACAAGTGGATTAAACATTGCATGCTGATCACAGCGGAAACAGTGGGAATTCGCGTTTGAAATCCACCATTGTGTGCGCAAAATCAATTTGTGAATAGCTTGTGTCTCCCATAGCCCCCTCCACCTACCCCATTTTCACCCGCCGCCCCCAATTTTCGGCAAATCCGGACTAAACACGACACCAAAAGCAATTGACAGTATCTTTATTCCTTCAAGTTTACTAATTTTTTGTAGGCAATATCTCCACCCACCCCCCGTATTTCATAGGAGTTATATAAATTGTAATGTATTGGCCAAAGAATCCGAATCACTGAAAACAAACCCTTTTTTACTATTTTGTGCTCTATAAGCTGTGATTCATACACTGCTTGTGATTCAAATCTCGTATTTCAGTTTCATCATCACTGTACAGTGAAGTGCAATGGAGCGAACCTTCACTGATCGCTGCCAAATTGTCAGTGCATGAGAAGTTAGTGATAATACGTAAGGTGCACAGGAGTTGGGACCTATTTTTAAGTGAGGGGAAGAAGATGAACCTCTATGGTTACCGCAGAGAGTACACAATCTACCTGTGCGTACATACCGTTTCAAGCATTCCGCCCTGATAAGAAATGACATCGGGACACCACTTCTGTCGGTTCGCTGCCATATCCCTCAATGTCGCCAACCAACCAGTTGCAGAGTCTTTCAGACCCCGACTTGGAAGACGGAAGATACGTAATCTACCTCATAGCTATGTGCATATGTTCATGTCTCATCTCCGTGTCATCTGTTGACCTCCATGGGGTTTCCTCCAGTCCGGAACGGTACAGCGAATAAAGCGCGGTGTGGTTGACGATAACTGGGCATACGCAATACGTGCCCTTGCCAGCTAAACTTATTGGGCTGAATTCCATGCTCTGGCAGATTCGTACCAAAT